GCTGCTGTTGCATCATCCAAGTGGATGCTGCACATTGGTGGTGGTTGAGGAGATTCCCCCTTCCATGTGAAGCGCTTTGAGTGCCTAGAAAAGCGCTATATAAATGTAATGAATTATTATTATTATTATTATTATTATTGAGTTTAACATGGGCTGTCTGACTTATATTTGTGTCATTGTGCGTGGCTTCACTTGGCTTTTACTTTCAGACTTTAACACAGAAACCAATAAGATGGCGCTGCACTTGTGTTTACGATTTGATGCTTCCGGTTAATACAAAGTGAGTTGGTATATCTCATCATCATATCTGGTAAGTAGTATTAATTATCAATATTTAAGCAATTAAAGGTTGTATCAGTGATTTCAGGCCCAAAAATAAATGATCACATTCATCTAATTTTTCCTAACGATCTGCTAGCTGCCCGCCCCATAAACAGGCCGTCAAAAAACGCGTCTCTGTAGGCACCCTAGGCTCTGAAATCTGCACACAAAAACATTGGGGTACCACCACTCAAAACCCAAATAAACAGTGTTCCAACCAATCACCGACAGGTTGGTTGGAACACTGTTTATTTGGTTTTGAGTGGTGGTGTACCCATTTGTTTTAGTGTGCAGATTTCAGAGCCTAGGCTTCCTACAGAGAACCGTTTTTTTGACAGTCTGCTGATGGGGCGGGCAGCTAGCGACTTTCGGCTTCCAACTTAAGTTGCGCTTTAGGGGGAAGCTAGAATTTTACTTCTTAACATGTTAAATATGAATATAATTCTTACACAAACTCATCACTTCGCTCCAGAAGGCTGCATTGTAACGCACACACATAGTTTGCACATCGCACACAGATTGCACACGCTCAGAATCATTCAGTAGTGCAGAAATGTATTGTCAACACTGTTCTGTGTTTTATCATTAAAATAGCTGAGAAACTGAAAAGTTCTAGCATTTCTTAGCAACTAAAACCCACAGCTGCACTATTAGTAGAGAGACACTGCCAGGTAGAATTAATTCACACGCAATCGCTCTCTCACTTTCAGATAAATAAAAATGTTTTGTGCTACTTTATCTGTATCTGATTTAGAATGATAAGAAATCTGTGAGAAATATAACAACCCAAAAGAACTGATAAAAATAAGCTGTTAAGAGCAATAGCCTTGTTGGCAGCGCTTATTTATGGTTCAGGCTTATTAGTACATTAGCATCAGCGGCTAGTCTACTCGACTTTCATCACATAAATATCTGTCGACTTTAAAAAAAGAACTATGAACTATGTCCCGCTTTAATATTGAAAATATCCCAGCACTGGAGAGACATTGGAGAGCGAGAAGGCCTGGAGATGAGCACAGAGGTTGCTATATTTCTGCTCAATGTGTGAGTAACATTGTTTTTTGCTGTTTCACAGAACAAAGATATGCTGTTGTTTTTGAATTACAGTTGATTTAGCCATACTTGGTCAAGCTGTAGTTGTTGCCTGTGTTGCAGTGTTTTGGGAGCATTGAAGGGAGGGGTGTGTTTGATTGTGTGTCGGTTTTACAAATCTCAATGGTATTTCTCAGAAATCGCTTATTGCACCTTTAAATGAATAGCTGACCCAAAAATAAAAATTATTTATTCGCCCTCATGTCATTTCAATGTTTATTTTTCAATGGAACACCAAAGGAAAGATTTTGATTTTAATCTTCTTTTGTGTCCCACAGAAGAAATTCAAACACGTTTGGAATGACATTAGGTCAAGTAAATGACAACAAAATTGACATTTTAGGTGATCGTTTCTTAATTAATGAAGGAATATTAACAGTATCGTGGAAATATCCTTAAATACTGCTAATATTAGTAAATATTAAAAATGTATACATGACCATTAAACAATATATAGAAGAAATACATTGTTTTCATGCATTGTTTATTGTTAATTCACATTAATGAGAGCTAATGTTAACACGTACAACGTTACTGTAAATTCTTGATTATTAAAAGCACTTTTCAATCTTCAAACTCACTTAAAATCTTCTAATTTCTCTGTTTCTAGCCACTGATGTGAAAGATGAAGAAACGATCCCCAAACAGCTAATTATAATGTGTAAGTATTTCAATTCTATCAAAAAAAAAAAAAGTACCAAATAATACCAAACAAATAATATATTTAAAGAAATGAAGGTTATGGGTTTACATAATATTAAAATAACATGGGATATTTTAATAGACAATAAAATAACAGAAGGAGATTGGAAACAAAGTTGTAAAGAAAATTTAAGAATCACTTATTCTTCATATTGCCAAGAATATGCTTGGAAAATTAATATTAATTATGTGATATTTTATGACACCAGAAATACCTTTTAAGTGTGATCATTTATCTTTCGGATGTTGGAGAACATTACTCTCATATATTTTATACTTGTAAAGTAATAAAAACAATTTTGGACAGAAGCAGGTAACGGAAGACATTCTTAAGAAATCAAATAATAAAGATACAAAATATATGTTTGGGTGTAGGACTAATGCTACTTAATAAAGATGAGTTATGTAAGGGTTAATGCCCCGTAGGACTGTTGCCTCCGCCGAAGTCCATTAATACCTGACAATGGACACCTAGAAGGGCATTAACCCGCTTATACCATGGTCACTTGCTAAATAACACAATTTTAAAACATTAGTTTATATTTTAATTAGTTTTACCATCGAAATCTAAAGTTTTTACAAACAATAACGTGGATTCCCTGGTTACGCCTGACGGTTTATTTAGCAACCGGATATATTTATAGTCCGCTCAGCTCGTAGAACACTATGGTTAGTCACAACTGATATAGCCAGACCATTTATTTATTCATTTTGAACGGTAAACAGTCAGTTTCACCAGAACTCCTTTACTAGGTGTCCTCTGTCACTTTTTAATGGACACCCTGCAGCCAATCAGAATCGAGTATTCACCCAGAGCATGGTATAAACTTATTTCGAATACTGAGAGTTAGCTACAGCTTTTAAAGCAATAACAAAATTTTAGAGAAGGCAAGAATCCGCAGTTTTGAAAATCTCCTAATTTCTCTGTTTTTATGTGCTGTTGTGACAGATGAAGACAAGACCGTATCAGTAAAGGAGGGAGAATCTGTCACTCTGAGGACTGATGCTGAAATACAAAACGATGATAATATACAGTGGATGTTTGGACCTCAAGAGAATCGCATAGCTGAAATCAGAGGCGAGACCAGAGAAATCTCTACATATCATGGTGCTGATGGGAGATTCAGAGACAGACTGGAGCTGGATGAGAAGACTGGATCTCTGATCATCACAAACATCACAGCTGAACACATTGGAGTCTATGAGCTACAGACCATCAGCAGCAGAGGGAGGTTGTATCAAAGATTCATTGTTACTGTCAAAAGTGAGTAGCTCAAGGTTTTCAGTATAATAATAATCACATGTCTTTATTGGCAGTTATTTCACACATTACATTTGATAAATTACTGTGTGTCTGTTGATTTGTGTATAGCACATGTTTTCTTCATCTGTTTGGATGAGGAGAGGTACAGCCCTGATAAATGGAAGGCAGTCTTGAGACACACTATGGGCCTGTCCAAATAACCAAACCTGTAGTCTTCGCACTTGACCACTTGTCTACTTGCATGACGTATTTCCTGTATTTGGCCTTGTAGGTTAACTCAAGTAGGCGTAAAGACTGCAAGTGCATAGAACTTTTGATTACCCGATGGGACACACTTACAGTATAGTGTTGTAAAAATATTTACAGAACTTTATTTACACATTTTGATTTTCAATACTTTGCATATTAAAATAAACGTATTTGACAGACAACACAGTTTAGTCATTGTGGTGCTACTAATTAAGTGATAAAAAGCTATTGCAAATGTTGTATAAAAATAGACATTGCACCAATAAAGTTGTGAAACACTTTGTTTTACTACCAAATTATATGTAATATCGAATTAATTTAAGTTACAGTGGAATGTTTTCCTCGACATCTCTCAATTTCTGGGCGAGTTCACGAACATGATGCAAATGTAGTTATTTGGACAGGCCTTATGTAACTTTTGACGCTCTAGCACAGGGTTTCTCAAACTCGGTCCTGGAGGGCCGCTGTCCTGCAGAGTTTAGCTCCAACCCTGATCAAACACACCTGAGCAAGCTAATCAAGGTCTTCAGGATCACTAGAAACTCACAGGTTGGTGTGTTTGATCAGGGTTGGAGCTAAACTCTGCAGGACAGCGGCCCTCCAGGACCGAGTTTGAGAAACCCTGACTCTAGCGGTTGAAGCATATAATTACAAGTTACTTGCGAAGGAACATTGGGTCTTATTCACTAGCAGTTGCGTACACTATTCGTATTTATACAAACTTCTCATGAAAAATGTCCTCCTTATTCAGAAAACAAATAGAATACTCATATATTTTTCCATGGTCCCATTCTAGATCCTTATTGGACAACTGTGTTTTTGCTCAATAATAAAATGTTCCAAGTTAGTTTGTTCAGAGACTCCTCAATATAAATGTTGTGAGTAAAGCCAGTTTTAATATGGAGTGAGAAAAGAATATGCATCTTTTATGAATACTCCTAGATGCTGATAAGTAGAAAATGCCACGACACTTGCAGAATGGTTACAGACAGTCAGGGAGATTTATGTGATAACACACAGATTGAAACTAAGAATGAGTCAGTTTAATGAGCCTTTAGTAAACCTTTAATGAAGGGACTGGGCGAGATGTGGGGGTAATGTTTTCGAGGATATATTGTTCTGTACTATAGTTGTTGACTTTAAATAGACTGGCTGGTTACACTTGGCAAACTTGATCTAATAGAAACATTTTCTTTGTATTTTTCTCTTTTTATGCGTCACAAATTAAGTCGCATTGATATCATTGGTGGAGGGAGAACCGGTCACTTTATACCCTGATACTGAAATACAGAAAGACGATCTGATAGTGTGGATGTTTGGAGACACTCTCATAGCTCGAATGACCGGAAAGAACAGATTTGGACATAAAACATGTGACGGAACTGATGGGAGATTCAGAGACCAACTGAAGCTGGACAAGAGGACTATCTCTGACCATCAAGAGCACGAGAACTGAACACTCTGGACTTTACGATCTACAGATGAGCAGCAGCAACAGAGAAACCACAAACAAGAGATTCAAAGTTGCCATTAATTGTGAGTAGTTGTTTATTTTATTTATTTATCTTTGTGTGATTCGTTGAAATGAACACAACTGAATTGTAATAGTTAAAGTGCAAATTGAGTTACTTTTATGTGTTATTCATTTTGTATTCTCCTCAATTTATTAAATGTTATAGTGTACAAAATGACGAATTGATGCAGTACAGGAAATTACTGGCCAAGTTAATCATAAATAATGAGCCAAAACATTATGATCGTCTTCCTGAAATGCTGTTGGTCCTCCACGTGCTGCCAAAACAGCTCTGACCTGCTGATGCATGAGGTCTGGACTCTACAAGAGCCCGAAAGGTGTCCTGCAGCACCAAGACATTAGCAGCAGATCCCTCAAGTCCTGTAGGTTGCGTGGTGGAGCTGACGTGGGTTCAACACATCCCACAGATGTTCAATTGGATTGAGATCTGGGGGCGCATTACGGAAAAATCCTAACTTTAGAATCCTATGTTATCGGTTTGGTAACCATGGCATTTTCAGATAAGACCTCATTGAGGACAAAAGCAATTACAAAATGACATTTCTTAAGTGCATAATTTTATCTTAACTACGGATAGGAAAAGAGTATTACAGAAGAATTCTAACTCCACAAAAAAATCCTAAAAACGGTCTTAACTTTAGGACAACCCCAATGGTGTCCTAACTTCAAAAGCCAACTGTAAAAATCACATAATAAAAGTCCTGTCTGAGAATGGTGTCACATTTATTAATGATACCAGATGAAGAACAGCGATGTTTGATGGTGGAAAGACTTTGTGAACACCCAAATGGTGTGCTGCACTTTGACAACAAAACTCACAAATAATTACAGACTCCTATGAAATAAAATAATTAGGCTTTGCCTTTCTACCAAGCTTATCAAAATTTCACTTAATAAAAAGCACCACTTATTTTGTTTCTCCATTCTCCAGTTTTTCCGTTTTACATCACAGCTGTTTGTGCGTTGTTGGTTGCTTAGTAAAAGACCTGAGAGTTGATTACGGAACTCGATTCCGTAAGATCAGATTTTGTAAGATAGGATAAGAATCTTAAAACCACTTAATATTTGCTTAATACGAATTTGTAAAAAATAAATAAATAAACTTGTCAGATCTTAACTTAAGACATAAGATAGAAAGTTTCTGTAATACACCCCCTGCTGAATTTGTAGGCCAGGGAAACACATTGAACTCTTCAGCATGTTGGCCGGGCCCAGGGTTTCACAGCAGAATATTTCCCAGAGCATCACTCCCTCCACCGGCGTGTAATCGTCCCTCAGTTCGTTCTGGTGCTGTCACTTTTGAATCTTTTCATAATTCCTAGAACTATTGGTGGAAGTTCACGGTTTTTGGCGTGTTTGCACCGCAGGGACTAGGAACGATTTTAGTTCTAGGAACTCTTTTGGAGGAACTAATTTAGCTCCTACTTCAGATTCGGTCTAAACCAGCACAATAGGAACTATCAGTGACGTTAGTGTACGCCGATTGGCCGAACACACTCGAAAAACCAGCACCCACCATTTAAAACTCTGGGTTCGGGCCGCATACCGAGCCTGGAGCCCTCTCCTCGGACAGCACGCCAAATACGCATTTATTCTATCTGACTTATTTGTAAGTGTGAACTCGTGAAACATGTATTCCTGCTCAGCTAGCAACACTGGTCATCAACCACACGGCAAACGCTAATAACTTTTCATTAGTGTCTAAACAGTTCTGTCTAATAACGTATTAGACACGAGTGTTAGACAGATCATAAACTAATGAACATGGAGAATGCAATCACTGTGTGCTCAGGCTCTGGCGCTCTCAGCGCCGTCAAAGTAAAAGTCCGCTGCGCCGTCAAAATAAGTCACAACAACAAGCGCGGCTTACGTCACTTCAGAGTTCCTATTGGCGGTGCGAATGCAACCAGGAAAACACTCCTAGTTCTCTGGGAAAGACCCTGGCGGCTGGTTCCTAGAACTATCCGGTGCGAAAGCCCTTTTTGGCACACTGATTAGTCTGCAGCTACGCAGCAGAGTGCGATGCACTGTGTGTTGTGACAGATTCCTAGCTTAACCATAATTAAAATGTTGTTACTTGTGCTACAATAGACCTTTTGTTGGCTTGGAAAATTCTCACCACTGCTGACCGGGAGAACACACTCAAGCCTTGCTGTTTCAGAAATACTCTAACCCAGTCGCCTTGCCATAACAATAAGGCCCTTGTTAAAGTCGCTCAGATCTTTATTGCTGCCCGTTTCTCATGCATCAAAACATTGATTGAGAACTGATTGTTTGCTTTACCATCTAATCTATCCAGACCTTAATATGTGGCCTTGTTAAGAGATGATCAAAGATATTTGCTTCACCTGTGACTGGTCATTTATGTTTTGGCTCATAAGTGTACGTTGTATTTGGTAAAAAAATTTTTTTTTAGTTTGTTCTTACCAATAGCAGTACACACACACAACCACAACCACACACACACACACACACACATCGTCAATGAGGCTTTACTGACACACGTCACATAATCTCCTAATTTCTCTGTTTCTATTTGCTACTATGATATAAAGTGAAGAAAGTGTCAGCCAAGGAGGGAGAGTCTGTCATTCTAAAGACTAATGCTGTAATACGGAGAAAAGATGAGTTGCTGTGGCTGTTTGGAGATGAAAACACTCTCATAGCTGAAATCAAAGGAGGGATTGGAAAGATCTCCACATTTGGCGTTGCTGATAGCAGATTCAGAGACACACTGCAGCTGGACGAGAAGACTGGATCACTGATCATCACAAACATCACAACTGAACACGCTGGAGTTTATACTCTGAAGCTCATCAGCAGTAAATTGGCCAAAAGCGAGAGATGGAATGTTACTGTCAGAGGTGAGAATCTCAAGTCTTTCTTTTTTATTTGATTTGTTTGAACCAAACCCTGAGTGTGAACACACACTAAGATTAAAGTTTGGAGAGACCTAATTAAACCTAATTGAATACTTTAAAAATATGAATTGTTTGAGGTAAGGGGAGTGTCAGGGTTCTGTCACTTCTGTCTAGTATATTTCTTGGTTTTGTGACAGGGCCCTGACACTCCTGTTTTGTCTTGTCTGTGTGCCTTTTTTTATGTGCTTTAATGTCATGTCATGTTTTGTCTTGTGCTGTGTAGCAGCTTGTTTATCACTGGCTGTGTGCTTTCATGTTGTCATGTTTTGTGTGAACACATGGCTTATGAGTGTTCTCATCGGCTGCATGTTCATGTCTAGTTTTGTGCTAGCACATGGCTTGTGATTTGTTTTAGTGGCCATGTGCTTGTGTTTTAGTCATGTTTGGTGCGAGCACATGGTTTGCACTTGAGTCCTCGCTACTTCGTCCTGGCCCAAACCCTGACAGGGTGGGAAAACAATCTTTTACATGAAAATAAACATAGCAATTAAAATGTTTAATCTTCCAATATTTATATCAGTGTCTCTAGGTGTATAGTTGGTAGCTCTGTCCTGCCGGAGGCTCTTTTTTTGTGACAGGACCTCACATAGCTGGCAGCCAGGTTTAAACTATCTGGGCTCTCCTAGCAGGACTGGGAGTTTGTCCATATTTGATTTCTGATGGAAGTTTTTCTGGTGGGATGTCAAAAAGTGGAGCTCTGTTTCCACTTGATTCTCTGTGCAGTGAGGGCACAGCCGCGTGTGTGTGTGTGTGTGTGTGTGTGTGCAGTGAGGACACAGCCACTCTTCCCTCGGCAGCCGTGTATGTGTGTGTGTGCAGTGAGGGCACAGGCACTCTTCCTTCAGCAGCCGTGTGTGTGTGTTCACACAATATGTTCTGTTTAGGGCCAAATAGCATTTCAGTTTACTCTTTTTTTTTTTCTCTCTCTCTCTCTCTCTCTCTCTCTCTCTCTCTCTCTCTCTCTCTCTCTCTCTCTCTCTCTCTCTCTCTCTCTCTCTCTCTCTCTCTCTCTCTCTCTCTCTCTCTCTCTCTCTCTCTCTCTCTCTCTCTCTCTCTCTCAAACAAAATCCCAATAAAAGGGAAGGAAAAAAAAAAAACACAGCAAAGTGTTCAGCATGTTATGTGTGTGACAGCTGGGATTGTTCTTGGTGATGCCTTTGGCCCCGTAGCGCTTCTTCTTGATGGCCCATTGTAGTGTGGCATGGGCGGGGGCTAACGTAATAGCCTTATTTTTGTTATTACTATTATTAGTACTATTATTATTGTTATATTTGTCCTCTTCCTTGTCCTCCAACCTCCCCCTCATTCCTGATGAAAAGTCTAGTTGCTATTATTATTGTATTATTATATAAGACTATATTAGAATATCTTCCTCATCCTCCAGTTATTATTTTTACTATCATCATCATCATTATTATTGTCATCAATATGTTTTTATTTATTATTATTTATTTTTTTATTTTATTATGTCTGTTGTATCTGTAAGATGTTCCTCTGTTAAGATATTCACACTCACACACACACACACACACTGGCTGTTATGTATGTTTTATGTGTTTATGTTTATGTATGTGGCCTTGCTGTTTTTTGTTGTATCAGTCACCTGTAAGTAGTTGATTGCATAAAAATAATTTTATTGCATTTAAACTTTCAAAATCTCCCACTGAACTGCATTGTCAAATAAACAGTTCTGTTGCTGCCTTTCCTCCATGAGTATTTCATTCAGTTATTATTTAGAGCAGAATTCTGTAAATAAAGCAACATTTTACAGTCTTCCTGTACAATTTATGGTTTTTGATGCAGCAAACTGAGACAGTAATATGTAAAGTTCATTTTCAAGCTGATTTTAAATCCCCATCTGAATAATCTTTGCGGAGTACTGTCAAACTATGATGTTCACATGCACACACTTATATAATGGAAACCTTTTCTCTGTATTTCTCTCGTTCTTTGTGCTGCTGTCACAACTGTTACAGTGTTGAAGACAATAGGAATGAGAGGAAAGAATGTGACTCTAAACCCTGACACTGAAGTACAGAGAGATGATCTGATCCTGTGGATGTTTGGAGATCAAGACAATCTCATCGCTCAACTGACCGGAGAGACCGGAGAGACGACATATGCTGATGCAGACGAGAGATTCAGAGACAAACTGAAGCTGAACAAGAACACTGGATCTCTGAGCATCAGTGACATCACATCTGGACCTTATAATCTACAGATCATCAGCAGCAAGAGGACGGCATACAGGAAATTCACAGTTTTCAAGTCTTGTGAGTCTTTCGTTTTCCTTTTAGTACTATTATTGCTAAAGAAATGATGAGCAAAATGTATACAGTATGTCTCATCCTTGCACCAAATTAAATTAAAACATGAAAAGCTTTGCAAAAACAACTCAACAAACCAATCTACAACAAATTTGATTAGCTATTAATCTGGTCTGCATACAACAGTAGTAAAGTGATAGCAACGTACATGCACATCAGGAATATGGAGCGCAGTAGTTCATTTTCTGAATTTGGATTGTACAGAATAGTATAATTATTAAATACAATAAATTTAGACTATATCCAGTGATGTTACACGGTCACGTTCAACTGAGGTCTCATGTCAGTGTCTGTACGAGTATTTTTCTCTGTTTGTTCTCCAGGTGAGTCCGGTCCCAAGACAGTGTCAGTGATGGCGGGAGAATGTTTAGTTTTAATCACTGATTTTAAGGTAGAAAGAGATGAGAAAGTGGAGTGGAGATTTGAAGATAAAATTCTCACAACTGGAATGAATGGAGACATCAGTAAGACTTTTTACGGTGGTGATGTGAGATTCAGAGGCAGACTGGAGCTTCACCATCAAACTGGATCTCTCACCATCAAAGACACCAGAACCAGCGACACTGGAGTTTATCATCTAAATCTCTGCAGCAGAGGCGGAAAGAACATTAGCTGGGAATTCAGTGTTACTGTCAGTGGTGAGTAACTCTTCCAATATGACTTTTTTATTAGTTTAAGTGACTTAAGCCATTTTTTTGAAAAATAAACATTTTGTCATCGTTTACTTGCTCTCATGTTGTGCGAAACTTAACTTTATTTCTTCTGTGGAAGTATCTTTCTGCTTTGAAGACTCAAATTTCATAATCTAATATTGTTTTTAGTTTTATTATTACTTTTTAATAATATTCATAATCAGTAGTATTATGTATCTGTATTTTTACTTTTTATATACATTCATAATCATTTGTAATCATCGTATTTTGTGAATCATAGTGTTCTTGAATACATATGTGGGTGAGAGGGACTTTGGGTGACTTTAGCCCCTTTCACACAGAGATTCCGGAAAATACACGGATAAAGTGACACGGGATTTGACCCGGGTTCGTTTGATTTTGCTTCATTCACACTGCCAGTGATTTGCCGGAATCAGAGAGCGCGTTCACACACAACCCGTGTATGTTCCGGAAAGACGCGTGACGTTGGATGTGACGTGTAAGGTACGCGTCGAAAAGCGGAAGTGTTTGCATTGCTTTGAATAACATGGCAGCTGATCAGGCATTAGATGTTGCTGTTCAAACTTTGTTGTTTATGTAAAAAATGTTTCGCCTTAAGTTTACTTATGATCTGCGCTTTCGATTTCGAGAAACCACGCTCGATCATTTTTTTTTTTCGGATTCGGTCGTACACTAATGCATCACGTACCGTTCCACTAAGCTGGCGAACGATCTCAGCTTCGGCATGGATTGCAAGGAGCTCTCGGGTCTCTACTTCAGTCCAGTTTGCAGACATTTTTTCGTTCTTTCTTGTATCGATGACGAACACAAACTTTCTTCTAGAGTAACTGAGTCGCACGATAACTACTTCATTGCAAAGGCTCGTGCATCATCACTACGACACACCCCTTATACGGCATTGGTTCTGGCTTTTGTTCACACAGCGCGCGTTCCGGGTCTGAACACGGCAATGTTACTTGGTCCCCAACCCGGCATCGATCCCGGCATCAATCCCGGGTCGTGTTTGCGTTCACACAGAAGGCACTCTGGCAATTTGCCGGGTTCAAAGCGCTGTGTGAAAGGGGCTTTTGAGTGTGTGTGGGAAGAGCTAGACTGAGAGTGTATGAAGTTTCCACCGGGATTGGATATACATTCCAATGTTAGGTAACATATGTTCCTCTGGTAATTTATGTGTTCCTATGGTAATGTAGTTTTGTTTTGGCCAGTAGTATATAAACCGAGCCTCTTTGTCCAGAGGACAGAGAAAGATGACAGAGATGCTGGAATGTAGACCTTTCGTCCCCTTGGAATTATAAGGTTCTATCTGACATTTTTGTCAAAATTGAGTTATTCACATATTCTTATTCTGTGACCACTTCTTTACATTATGTGATGTTGTTTTTTAAGTTGTGTACATTTTGGAACTTTTTATTTAGAAAATAAAAATGTTATTTCTACACAGTCAAATGGAATGCAAAAACTTTAAAGCTCAATATCTCAAAACTGCTCAGAACGCAGATAGAACCTTATAATTCCAAGGGGACGCTTTGTTTGGTCCATTGTCACTCCCTCCTATGTCTTACATAATTTGGTAAAATAAATATGAGATCTCTTGGGAAAATAACTGGTGTCTGTGTCCCGTGAATTAAACCACAAAAGGGGAAAAGCATGATTTTTAAATCTACAGCTTTTTTCCAGATAATGAAGTAGATTCTACCATTTAGTGTCAGTCTCCAGAAAGGACCAAGAATTCCATATGCACTAAATTCCAAGTCTATTGAAGTCAAATGTTACTTGGTGTGAGATGTAGATCATTATTCACTCAAGTTCGGAAGACTGAGTTCACAAATCGTGTTAATTTGTTAGAAAAGAACAAGTGCTCAAACAAGACTGAACTTGGTCCTTTGTAATTTTATGGTAAATTCTTGTCATTAGTTTTGATGTCTGATTACAGAATGTCTTTGTTTTTCAGATTCTAGAGGAAACCGATTGAATAATTCAGCAATTGTACTGATGAATTGAGAGGTTCCTGATGGAGTAAATATGCAGCAGGCCACGAGTCCAGTTTGATGAGAAGACACTTTTGTGCTTGGGTGGGTGTTGGAGAAAACCTATGTGTAACATTATAATGGATTCGTGCACTAGCTCTTAACCCTTTAAAATAATTCTAGGAGGGTAGTCTCAGCATGAAGAATATGACAGAATGACGTCTAGTTCAGGATGGGGAATGGTCTCCTATTTTTCCCTATTATAATACAGTCTACGGTCCTCTTGGCTGCAGATGTACTAGTGGTAAGCTAGCCAGAAACTGACCATATATGGACTTGTTATTCAATGTATCGTATTCCTATATGATGGAAGGTATGTTCTTTTATTGGTTAACACTGTGTAACTCCCCTCATATTCTTACTATATAGTTAGACAAAGTGCAAGTAGAATTGAGAAACTTTCTCCCTCTGCGCTGGGTCATTGTTCATTCAACTACTAATTGTGAGGACTGAAATGAGGCACAGTTGAACCAGAAATCTAACCTAACCCTTAAAGACAGAAACAGCCGCATGTGGCGTAAAATAACTATTGTTGTCAAATGTTTTAACTTTTGAACTGCTAATCCAATCTGTATGTTTTAAAAAAGTCTTGTAAAGGAGATTCGTTGAAGAGTAAACGTGTAAACGTGATTGCGTCATCAAGTTTTGATCATCATTGATTTGTCAAAGAAACACGTGCGGTTTGTTCCTCTGAGCCAAACATGAACAATTGTTGATGCTTAGTCTCACCCCCGTCCCCAGATTGGTTTTAACTATCATCTACTCACCCAATAAACATAGGTTTTGGTCTTTTGCACCACCAATTAGCATCTTTATTTGGACATTTTAACTGCACTCTCTGACACAGCATAACACATATCAAAAACAATTATACAACTGCTTTACACATCGAATGAGGCACTGAAATGTATGTTTTCAAATGAGTCGCTACACAATGACCCAGTGGAATTGACCTTTTGCAGGGAGTTTGATTGACAGGCGATCTGACCAATCATAATCCGCCGAATCTGCCATTTTGTCCGATAAAGCAGTCAGGAGAGTTAGTAGATTAACGTTGGAGGATTTGTAACTAAAGGGGGCGGGTCTTTGCGAACGGTCAATTGTGTCCAATAGAGATAACTGGCGCAGCCAAGAGTCCCGTTTCTAAATATAAATACTACTTATATAGTTTGTGAAAATATTTTACACTTGTTTGTATTTTTGTTGCACAAGACAGTTTTCACAAGTGTTTACATATATATATATAAAGTCACTTTGCTTCAGTGTTCTATTGTTATAAAACAATGTTTCCATTTACTTTACTTTCTGAACTTTTTTGGACACATCTGCATTGTCAGTAAATAAAAAACACCAGTTTTTCACTGAAAAGAGCCTATAACTATAATAATGTTGTAATAAAAGCAAACCTTGCTCAGGGATCGTTAAATGTCGACACATTTTAATCTGGACATCTAGAATATCCCAGTAACTTTCTAAAGGAAAAAAATCCAAACTTCAGGAGGTTCTGTTTGAGTTGAATAAAAAAAAGGGTAAATGCATCCATATCATCTGTTTAAAATGATAAATGGCACTTGATGCTGACTGCTATAATGGGTTTGAAAAAAAAGAAAAGTACAGATGAGTCAGGTGCCCCACAGATGTTCTAGGTCTTTAAGGGTTAAAGTGACAGCAGCCTGTTATGTTGTAAATGATGACAGAATGTAATTCTTGTGTGAATTATACCTTTAACACCAGTATTGGGTTAATGTGCATGTTCATATTTATGCTCATGTTTTTGTGATCAAATCTGATTGTGATCAACTCTTGTAGCAACTGAGTGTGCAACTGAGTGTGAAATGAGTGTTGTGCCTTGGATTATTCACCATTGTGAATTAGTATTATGCACATTTGTAAGTCATTTAAATAAATGTTCAAATAAAGATATTAATCAATGTGTATTTGATCTTTCTATCTGATCATTATTGTATTCTAGAGGACAAACACTGATTCCGTTGTTAACTGATATTGCTTTATAAACTCTAATTAAATATACTTGTGTGTGATAATAGTTTTTTGTTGTTGTTTGAAACAAGTTGTTTGAAATCAGTTGGTTCATACTGTATGCTCTGACAAAATGAAGTTTTATTAACTAAGTTCGGGAGGAGCACGTTCAGATAATTAACACAAGTGGACAGCAATCAGCAATCAATGATAAGAGGGTACATATAGACTCAACAGTCTTACCTCGATCCATTGACAGTTTGCAGCATCCCCCCTCCACCCCTTCTCCACACTCCTAGTTCTCCACACTCCTAGTTCAAAAAATCACTTACATACGGGGGGAGTACTCTGGGTTCGGGCTGAATTCCGAGCTCGGAGCCCTCCCTCCGGACAGCACGCCAAATACGCATTAAATCTTATTTCCTCAAATTATATGTAAGTGTGAACTCGTGAAATCCAATTTGAAAAGATATGGCAGTTATCTAACCACATCTAATCAAACGCAGTGAAAACTAAAATATTTTCTAGTTGAATTCAAAGCAATGGCCGATTATATTCCATCATAAGTTAACTTTTATTTAATGTATACAACTTATCCGTCTTCCTTAATTTTTAATTCGGAGCCAAGCGACTATCGCCGTAGCAACAGTTTTCTGAACTTTCTGAGTTTTCTTTTTAATAATCATCTGAAACTTGGCAAACTATCAAACTGGCGGTTCTAGTAAGATGATATATATATATTGTCATGACCGGCTTTGCCGTGTTATTGGGCAGCTTGTGTTTGTCTGTGTTTTATGGTTGCTATTTGTTTGTCTGTCTTAATCCTACAGGGGGAGCTGTAGGCTGGTTGTGAATGTAGATGTGAATGTTTAACCAGTCATCCATGCGATGGATGACTGGTTAAAAGAGGCTTTCCGGGAGCTGGCGGGTCTCTTTCCTCTTCGGGCCGTCGGTCGGTGCAGCTGGTGGTTGCCTCGCTCGTCACTTACCTCTTCTCCCCACCCGTTTCATATACTGATCTACACTACACTTTTGCTTAACCATGACATTTACTGATACACTTTTATTTTATGTTAAATAAACATTCTTTGCTAAATGCAGTGATCAGTGTGGTCTCCCCTTTTATGTTGCGATCACTGTATGAGCCCAGCGGTCGTAACAATATATATTTGAACTCTGTCATGGAAATGCATGAATAAACCTATAAACCCAAGTATAGACCAGCAGTTTGGAAAATGGATGGATGGATGATTCAGGATTGGGCACCATATTCAGGAGAGACGCGGGAATCAATTCGGCCTGATATCACAGTGCATTACAAAAACAAAATGCCCACTTAAAGCAAACACCGAACATCATAATGGTGAAACCAAACTATTATTTTCAATAAAACATCACCATCTAAACCTCTTTTAATTTCAATAATAAGTTTTGTAGACGCATTACAGAAATAAAGTAAATCTGGTTTATAATAAGTGAAGTTGGCAATGCTGTATTTGGAGTTATTTAATGACGTTGGAGCTTGATGTAAAGGTTGGTTTTCACTTTCAACCAAAATTTGACATCTGAGCAACATTTGAGTCCACATCCAGTGCCCAATGATGGGAAGCTTCCCACTAAAAACTTTATAAGAATGTTAGGGGATAATGTTCTAACAACGTTATCAACATTTATTTAATGTTTTTTAGCACAACTTTCTGGAAACAAAAATTAAACTTGGCAATATGCATAAAATCACAGATCATAAAAAAATGTCTAGCTGAGTAAGACCATTGCATAATATAAACTTGACTAAAGTTCACACAATAATTGATGTATTCGTGACTGTATTCCACTATTTTTATCTCAGGTGGAATGCATGAGATTTTCCAGCATATCATTTTAGTTGTTGTTGTATATTGCTTTTTTACAATACAAAGTTTTAGAGCAGCTTTGCAAAAAATAGTGCTTTACAAACCCACTGTGATTATAATCTGACAATCAATAAATACAATCTTTTTTTGTATTATTGAAAGAGAAGTCTTGTTGCAGAGGTTGTGTAAAAGAATCAGTGGGAAAATGATCAGGATAACAAGATACAGCTGTGACTTTTAGTGACACGTGTTGCGGCAAAAACAACTAACAAAATAGCATCACAGCGTAAGAGACATCAGGATTCAAATTGTATTTTAAAAAATTTATTCTTGCAAGAATAGTTCCCAGTCCATCCACAGTCCAGCTGCAGGCGGAGTGAGACCTTGAGCAGCGGGCTGCCAGCAGTCTTATACTGTTCTATCTCTTGTTTAGACAAGAGGAACAAAGGAACTTTATGACTACCCCAAAAGCAGAGGGTCTTCTCACCTCTGAAGTCAGAGGTCACTTGCCCAACCACCTGCTGAGTGTCTCACACACACCTCCAAGCTGTATAAACATACCAACAGGAAAACAGGGTCCTCTGTTCTCGTACACAGCACAGATAAAGAACTAAAATCAATGAGAATATAAAAATTTCTACAACACACGTGTATTTGCAACTTCACATTGAGCAGAGGGTGAACGAGCACTCTTGGCTCTCTCAAAAAGTTTTTTTTTTTTTTTTTTTTTAACAAAGTAGTTTTTGTAATGGAGTAAAAATTATTTTATAATCACTTAAATGCCATTTATTGATACATTATAATTACTACATACTCAAAAGCAGTCGTTCAAGAACACTTTCCTGAGTATCTGATTAATCAGAGTTTGATGGTTATTTCTGCTCTCTCTTCTTCTGTTGAAAACTTCTGGATCTGAATTCATAAACCAGAACAGCAACAGTAGCCACGCCCACCAGAGCAGAGAGAGCCAATTGGATCACAGCTTCAGTAAAACCACAAAAGTGGTTACAGTCCTATGAGAGAAAAAAATTGCAATGTTAAAAACGTCTCGGTTACATATGGTAACCCTCGTTCCCTGAGGGAGGGAACGGAGACGTAGGTCAGACTGACCAATAGGAATCTCGCTAGAGAGGCCAATCTACTTCGAGTGAAACTAAAACAAGCCAATGCACATTGGCATGCAATCATTTGCATCAGCTGCGCGTCCTC